ATATATATATATATATATATATATATATATATATATATACAAGGCTCGCGGCCCGGAGCGGGAACACGAGCGCAGTCCAGCGCCGTGAACATGTTTGGCTCTTTTGATGTTGTAATGGGACCAGAGGGCGTACCCGGACGAAAATGTATATATGAATCAATAATTACAACATGTTATGGCTGGGTTCACGCTCAAGGGCCCAGTTGATGACTGACTCGTCGATGGTGGCATCAAAAAAAAGGTCCCGCAGACAAGCCGGAGCACAAATCTGGAAAGCGAAAAACAAAAAAAGAGAACCAACCAATGGAGAAGAGGACCAATGATGTCTTTCTTTGTTGCTCGATTAGCTGCCAGCCGGTTTTTTTTTCTCTCGCACACAAGCAGTCAAGGTACTTTTGTGTTGGCGTTAGGCGAGTTGGTCGCGAAACCAGGGCATGAAACCCAGCCACAATGTACTACCATCACGATGGCGCGCAGGAAATGTCACTGGGGGGGCGGGCGTCCGCAATCGCCGTTGGTCGACGGCGATAGGACTAAATAGAGGAGCCAACCAGTTCGGGGGATTAAAATCCCGGAAAGCGGTTTGGCGGGAGACAAAATCCGAGCCGTCGAATCCCCCCCCCCCCATCCCCTGTTCCCGTCTTGGCTATAGCCAACGACGGAAACATCCGCGTAATGAGAGGGGGGATGATGGACAGCCAGCAAAGCCGAGAGAAGCGCGCGCCCTCTTTGCAGCGTGTATTGTGATGGAAGAGGAAGGGGGCGTGGAAGGGGGGGGGGGGTTGTTCAGGCTGGAGCTATGCGACGGACGAAAAACATGCATATTACTAGGTACGTTATGGGGGGCGTGAATGGAAAGAAGTGCGATATGAAGAGAGAAAAACAAAGAGATATATTATCGGGTGTATGATATACACGGCGATATCCATGACACCGGAGCTTTTTCTACTTGAATCTTTAATCTGTACAAGGGCGAAATGCCTTGCGGTGGGCTCGTGTCGCTGTGTGACAAAAGATCCTTACGCCCCCCCCGGCCGGTAGTTCTCGACGCCGGCGACAGGGGCTATAGCCTACGGAGTACAAAGGGGAGGGATCAGGGCGCGGTGGTGGCCTTTTTTCCCCGGGGAGGAAGGGGAGGGGGGTGGGGGGGGGGGGGGGGGTTCGGCAAGATCTCGCGTTTTACGGTGTGGTGGCTGGGGAAAGATTAGTGGTGGTGGCGTGTGATGATGAAGTCAGGGAGGGGGTGGGAAGACAACTCGGTGTGACGGGACGGAAAAGGCAAAAAAAAAAGAAAGAAAGAAGAAAAGAAGAAGAAGGACATGGGCAAGCAAAATGTGATGGAGGATTGCGCAATCATTGTTCAATGAAAAGGGCAAGTAAACGATGCAAGAGAGACGAGTGGGCAGGAGCATGTGACGATGGCGAGCGTGGCATTTTGCGTGAGAACCTGCATCGGACGAGGCTTGAGACATTGCTGGCAGCACAGCACATGGCAAAGAAGCAGTTGTGCCGAGTACCTATGTATGTATGTGGCTTGTCTTCTAGAAGGAGAAGTCAAAGAAATGATGTGCGGTCGACCAAGACACGGGCTGTTACTTGTCCAGCAATGTCTCGGCACCAAGATACTCGAGGGGTTTAGCTGCAAATTTTTACAAAGGGTGTACGTTTTCTGCAAAATTCGCCATGTCTGAATGTCTCAAGACTACTGTACCTTGTGACTGGTAGACGAGGGATGAGGTCGCTCTCATAGACCATTACAAGATGCTGCAGGCTGTGCCAATCGCATTGCAGGCGACATTCTACAGGGCAGGCCCTGGCGCAAAGACAGACCACACACGCCCCTTTATTGGAGGAGCTCTTCCTTGTCGAATCTGCCGCCAGCCGGGGGGGAGGGGTGGGGGGGTGTACCTGCAATTGCCCTTGCTGTCTCGTCCCATGATGCGATTTCTCCGTTCATTACCAGGGGCTGGTCGCTCTTTTCTGTGCTCGGTATATTCGTACATATCATCTTCATCATCATCATGGCAAATGCAATGCATGTATTGACAAATATAGTAGACAGCCCGGCAAGGAAGTCAGTCACCAGACTCAATGCCCGCGGGCCTCTGCCCGAGTTCCTCATTTCGCGCTGGAGACAAGAACTGGCGTCCTCTTACGTGATTGGACTAGCCAAACTCAAGCGAACGGGCAATCTACAAAGAGCCCGCGGCCGGCTTACTACTTGGTTCTTGAGAGCTCTATTCGCGCCCACTTCCACCCCCACCACGATAAACCCAACTCCATCAATGGCTCGATTGTCGTTACCTAATGGCTTCAAGAGGCCTTGGTTAGCTCAGCCTCGTCAAATTTCCGGGCTAGTTGATTGCTTTTTGACCAAGGCATGCTATCTGGAGAGGATAAACAAATAAAAAAAAAAGAAGAAAAAAAGAAAAGAACAAATTTGCGTTCCAAGTGGGCGAGGGTGTGTTATCTGAATGCAAGAGACTGCCTACAGGTACATAGACGAGCTGATTATGCAGAGACGGGACCTTTTTTTTTTAAGCATCAAGATGCAGACGGTGACAAGAAAGGAATAGCCAATTCAGTTGATAATCACTGCATTGGCTTTCGCCGCCACGCATCTCCCAGGCGTTTTCCCTACCTTTCTTATTCCAGTCTCATTCCCGGGACCAGCACACACAGAGTTGCAGTGGTTTTTGCAACAGCCAGGGCTGAGCGAGCCTTCAAAAGACCCAATGGACAGAGAATTGACATTTTGAAGTAGAGAACACGAGCTGAACTGATTTTCCTAAATTCTTCTTCACCTCTTCTTGTAGTCTTCTTCATCGTGTTTCGTGCATCCCGCGTTGACCTCTCCAAGCGGCATCTTCGGCACAAACCACGCAAAATCAATGCAAAAGCGACAAAAGGACCCAAAGCCTCGGGCGGGGGGTGGACGAGCCCCCCCCCCCCCCCCCAACCCGCTCATCTCAGGTGAGGGCTATCTCGTGGTGAGGGTCTCGCGGCACTCGGCTGGCGTTTTTTTTTTTTTTTCAACTTGGCATATCTTGTTCAGCTTGGGTTGTTGCTGACTGTGGCGTTAATTGGTGAATCTTCCCTCCCGGCCCCCAATTGGCTCTGCGAGATGCTCCGCGATGGCAAAAAAAAAATTAAAAAGAAAAAAGAAGAAAAAGGCTAAATCTTCTTTTCATTTGCTTTTATTGTTATTTCTTTTATTGTTATTTTTTTTTTTTGTTTTTTCGCTGTTTGTCTACCCCATACTCGCAAGCCACATGAGCTGCTCAAATGCAGTCCTCAGTCAGCACAAAACGAAGCAATTCGGCGCGAGAGCCTCGCGAACATGCACGAGCCACATCTGTGGCTTCTGCAAGTGTCGA